TAGGATTACTGCAGCATATAGTTCTCATACAAACTGAAAGTTCAAAACATGTCTTTGAAATGAGATCATGTATATTTGAAATGGAATCGTCACAAAAGTTATCATGGATATCTGAAGAAATTTTTTAGATTGAACTTTTATGACATATATGTACATATGTATGTAGCTACCATACAAAATAAACAATCAAAATCGAGTTCCTGTATGGAAACATTATTATTTTCTATGATATAAAAATTAATATAAATTTCTTTTTATATTTTTTTATTCGATGCAATACAACGGAAAATATTCCTTTAAGTTAGAATCTTCCAATTTGAAACAATATATGTACATGGTATTCTAAAAGTTACGAAGAATCGATTGGTAATAACTATATATTATAGCATTAACTTTCATACATTACTTCAAACAGCTGCTCAATTTAGCAATATTCATTATATAAATTTGGAGAGTCGGATGTTGATGCGGATATATCACTAGAAAATAAATAATGAAATTAACAAATTCCTTTTATGTTGTAGACAATACAGACTCAAATATACAAATTTTTTGTTTGGGAGAACCGAAGTAAGTTTGAATGTGCTTTTGCGATGCGTTAGACTTAAGGATATTATTAATCATTATAGTTATTACGATGACATTTTACAGAACTATGCCAAATAAACATTCTACGTTGTCTTTGAAAAGATTACCTTCAATGGACGATTTTTTGGCCTGGGCGAGAGATTGTGTCAAAAACGCATCATCTCTGTTTTTGTCTTACTAACCTTAATTATAATTTTGTCAAAGTTTTATGGCCTCGAGAATCCAGATTTGTGGCATATTATATATAACTACTATGTATTGTAACTAGAGATAACGAATTAGTTAATAAATTAAATTTAAATATTTCTAAAACTGAATTAAAAGAAACGCAACATGCATATGTATTGTATTTTATGGAATAAACCACCGCATTACATACATATACCATACCAGTAAATATGTATGCAAATATTTAAAATTGCCAACGTCGTCTTTACGTGCCTTTACCATATTCCCTTATTTATGCGGTAGTAATATTACAACTATGTATGTATGCATATGTATACATAATACACAGTAAATTTCATGATAAATACGTTAAGTCGTAATAGAAAAAATGTTTGCCTGCTGCTGTACGTATGAAAACAATTGTATATATTTTCCTTTTATATACTTATTCTTTTTTTGCACGCATTAGTGTGAATGTATAGTTAGTTCCGTTCCTGCATTTTCTAGATGGACGCAAGGTAGATAAGACAATTATTCTTGCATATCCTACTTGGTGTATTGAGATAGTTCGCAGAAAGAAACGAAAAAAAAAAAAACTTTGTGAATATGAAGGTGGTAGTAAAAAGCATAGCAAAATACAATGAAAAAAGGTATAAAGAGCGAGTCGTTAAAACAAAAAATATGTACTGCAGGGTTGGAAATGCAGCTCACGGTGAGTTGGTTACCGTCTCAGCAATATCTGACGGTCGACCAATCATCCAGCACATAGTTGTGCACTGAAAGGCGATTGTCCACCATCCAACTACAATAGTTGCAGATTATTCCCTTCGACTTTTTTTCTGCTTCTAAAGGGGTAAGTTTCAGTAATATTTTGTTTATCTCTGATTGGTTTTTTTTTCGCAAGAGGCAATACGTATACCATCGGCGGTGCTTTAAAATAGTTACTCTCGCTGTTAAATGAGAAGAGTTTTATGGTTCATTCTCTTTTGGTGTTGCCGTTCACATTCTCACAGAGCAATTACCTTCAGGTAGTTGTTTGATATTCTTTTTCATATTAATTTCTCAAACTTTGTGCCCTACGCTTACGTGGAATTCAAAAATATTTTAATACTATCAATACAACTATAACTGGTCAATTGAATAGTCACCGGCCTACTATTGTGACCCAATTTTTTTGACAAAATTCGTTTTTTCTTAATCAACATAGGTTGCTTCAAGGGTGATACGCTGATTATAGCGACCCTCCAACTTTCCCATACACTTTTTGTAGTACGATTTATCCTTTACTTAAAAATAGGCGGTGGATTCGGGAGCAATTCGAAGCCAAATTAATGGACTTTTGTCGTCTTTGTAACTAGTGATACGGAACTTAGCCTTCGTAAAACAGTCATTTCTTTTTTTCAAATTCGGCCGTTTTTCTGCTGTTGATGGTTCTTCCTTTCTCCAGGTAGTCAATAAAAATTATTCCATGCGCATCCCAAAACACCATAACCTTGACAGCCGACTGTTGCGTTTGTCGACGTTTTGGAGCGGGTTCATGGTTGTCGTCCACTCGGATGACTGTCGGTTGAACTTCGGAGTGAATCGCCATATCCTTCGTTCATTCTTACATATCGATGAAAAAACTTGGGCGTTTCCACACACTGCTCCGAATCATCAACTCGTCGTTGTTTTTGGTCAAAAGTGAACTCGCGCGGTCATCAAAAATTATTTTCTTTTTGATGTTTTCTTCGGTTACAACCTGTTTTGGCTGTCCACTGCGATCACTGTCTTCGATTCCATTTTTTCACAGTAACTCAGAATGATATAATTCACAAATAAACGATCTGACATGTGATAAATTTATACATGCGCCTTTTGAAAGTTAGTTTTACTTAATCTGGATTTATTTCTAGTACTGCTTATGTGTCAGGCCGGAGACTTATCAATTGACCTGTTAGTATCGTATAAGCTAATGTAAAATATAAATAACTAAAATAAGTACTTAACTTTGAAGCAACGAATAAAAACACAATGGGACTTTGATTTTTTCAATAAAATGTTACGTTAACAGAACGCATTATATTAACATTTTAATGTGAACAAAAAAATATATAAACTTATCGAAAATAAAAAGGTTTTAATGAAGTAAAACAATAAAATGAAAGTAAAATATTTTTATTAAAATTTCACTTAATGTACAATATATAACAAGTTAGAAGAAATTAAAAATGCACGTTTTATCTGCACATAGGGTGTTTGTTTAACTATTAGTTTTTTTAATCCACGTCATGAAATTTCCTTGGTGCCCTAAAAAAATTCCTTGAAAATTTAAGGCATGTAAAAATTTTCCATTGAAAATACAGGACAACCGCGATTTTTTATCTTTAAATCTCTATAGATCAGAGGAATTTTATGGCATCGCTTTGACTTTAGACACATAGTCCTCAGAATTGAACACTCTACAAAAGTGCCCATTGGAACAAACCTGATTTTTCCAGTAATTTCGCTTTTTTTTTTATATATCTGGTAAATGACAAGAGCTATAGAAAAAATGTAAATGACAAACTTGTAGGAAATTTTATGTTTTACAAAATCAGGTTTGGAGCCCCGTACTACCTCGCCGGTGAGAGTTTCGACATTGTCCCAATGGGCACTTTTGTAGAGTGTTCAATTCTGAGGACTATGTGTCTAAAGTCAAAGCGATGCCATAAAATTCCTCTGATCTCAATATTCTATATCTCAATTCTGAGGAATATGTGGGACTCAAATTTTCAGGGAATCTTTTAGGGTATTTCCAAGGAAATTTCATGACGGGAGTGAAAAAAAATAATAGTTAAAGAAACACCCTAATGTAAATAGGTTATCGATTATGTACTGCCAATGTTCTGAGTTCAGACCAATTAAAATATTATTTTATGTTTACTCTGTTTAATAGTTTATAATTTCTAATCTTTACAAATTTCGCAACTGTGTTTTTGCTATACGACAGCAGCGGTTTTTGGCGCTTCCAGTTAAGGATATAGATGGCTTCTGTATCCTATGTATTTAGTCAAAAATTATACATTTAAAATGTTTTATGAGAACTGTTGGACTCTTGAAATTTTTGAACTTCTTTTGCATTGGCCTATTTGATATAGTTATTTATTTATATAAATTACTATTATCTGCCCCAGTACAATAGAGTATTTACATACATATGTATGTAATTGACATTTCCGAAAAATGGTTCCTTTGAGAAATTAAAACTTATAAATAACTCGTTTTTGGTTGAAATAATAAAACAAAGAATATAGATTAGATTTAGATGATTATAGAGTTAAATTCGGGTTTATGTTGGCCGACGTATTTTATGTAAACTAAATTTCTCAAAATAAGAAAAAACGTAAATTTCGGTTCCTCCGGAATACCCTTCACAGGAGTTTCTACTAACAACTGTATGTACAACTAATGTTGGAAACATACCGACCAAAGGTTTGTATTCAATAATTTCCCAGTTTTATCTAGTTGTTTGATATAAATAACCCTTAAGTCGAATCGAGGTTACTTATTAAAAAAAAGTTTGTATACCATCGATTTGAAGAAATCGTTCGAATTTTTTTTTAGCATTGTCTTTAATAATAATTATAGAAAATTTTCCTGCAGATATCTTTGCAAATAAAACTAACTAACTAAATAATGCTATTGCATAGTAGTGCTCCGATTCAAATTTGTTAAATGAGCAGCATCTTGGAGGAAAAAGGGCGTGTGCAAAATTTCAGACCGATATTTCAAAAACTGAGGTCCTATTTCGCGTAAATACAGACGGGCAGATATTGCTTAATCGACTCATTCGTCATTGTGGTATGTAGATAACTTTGTGAGGCGTGTGCATGTAACCTTCCAAGCATTAACGACAAACTTTCAGGTGACAATTGTTTTGTTAAATTTTTAAACATAACAATTATTTTCTTTAAATTTGCTAACTTTCTCATTTATGAATTAGATAATGTTATTCTTTACAACAGGCGCTTCTTGCATTCAATTAAAAGTGTGATTGCCCCATAAAATTCGCATACACCTACGGTGGTCACCGAAAATCTTGTACTTTAAGTATGAACTGGTTTTTTGTGTTAATAACGTATGTTATTTCACTCTTAAAATTAAAATAAACAAATCTGAGAGTGCGTATGTTGCAATGCGTGGGGTGAATTTGTTTGTGTTTAGTGAGTGCGTGTCTTTAACGTGGAAGAGTACTATACACAACGGAAGAGATGCCAACTCACACGTTGCAGGGTCGACCAACATTCTTCTAAAGTACGTTCACTGATGGCGGCTGCGCTGTTCGACCGGGATAATTGCAGCTTTTTTTGTTGTGCCCAAAATATTTGTGATCGTTGTTGTTGCGACATTGTTGATTGAAGATGGTAAATGTTTAAATTGTGTTGCACAGATGTTCGTCAGTTTTCAGTCGACAGATATGAAAAGCAAAAATAAAACTGTTAGATTGCAATGATAATTAAATGTATTATAAAAATGGTTACTCAATATACATACAATTAAAAGTTCACGCTACCAAAAAAATATAACAAATCGCAAGTAACATATATATACATAATATTTAAGTCATTTAAAGCTTTAATATTTACAGATTTTCAAAAACATTCCAGCGTCTAACAACTGAGAAGGAATGAGTTTGGGTAGTCAGAATTTTCAAAAAACCGATTTTTTACATATTCTTAAAGTACAGTTTTCAACGAAATTGAAATGCTTTGTAGTTTCCAAAGAAATTTGTACAGCTCTTTTACAACATGAAAAATTTGTGCCTGATCGAAGGATTTTTAAACAAGGGTTTCCCCAAAAATTTGAAAAAAAAAATTCCTGTTAATTAGAAAAAAAGCTTTGAGTTTTTTATTTTTATTAGGATTACCATTTATGAGCTCTTACTTTATACCGATATGAAAAGTGTAAGACTTGATTGAATTTAGAAGAATATCATTAAACTGAGGATGCGCGTAGGGACAGAAATATTTTTACTTATATCTTTCCAGTTATCTTGAACAATATTCAGTGGAACAAATGTTTATTATTTTAAACGTAAAAAAATAGTGGAAATAATAGTCGTAGATAAGTAAATATTATTAGAAGAATACAAAACGAATGCTGTATTAGCAACATCATAAAAGTATATTTAATTAAAATAGTAACTATATGATTAATACACAATTACTATACAACTTCATACTCTGTTATTAATAATTTTATATACATATTGTATATTAGCCCACCCCGTGCATAGTAAAAGAATCGTTAACTGAAACGTCTTTGAGCAATTGGCGCTGATAAAACACTCACACAAATACATACATACATACATACATATGGTATATGTAATGTGCATAAAGTATTATATAACCTCGCAAATATTTGTTTTCTCATACTATAATAGTATTTAAGCATTTTTTAGTTGTTTTATTTGATTAAAGGTTTTACTCGTTCCAAGAAAATTCTCACTTTTATCCTAACCTATGTAAAAATCGTCCATATAAATCGATAAGAATATTATATGTATGTTTTTATTTATGCATTATGAAAACTGTAACTTGCTGAACTCTAAGTCCTAAAGCGGTCAATCAATGCAACAGTTCCGGTTTAAAAAGGAAAATGCCTGTTTTTATTGTATTAAATTTCATAAAAATAAATTTTGTATGCGAATGTTTATAAAATTTCGCTTAGGTATTGGACAACTTTTTTTGCTTATTTATTTTTATGGCATGTATATGGGATAATTGCAGTTTATCACTTTTGGCTACTTAACAAATGTAGTTATTTCAGCTATTCGAATATTCAATAGTCAAGGAAGTTAAATAATTACCGAATTTTCTTAGCTTTTAAAAATATTATTTAAATACTAAATAATTAAAATGAAAGAGAGAAGCATAAAATAAACAAGTAAAAATGTGTTAGAAAAATTTAATAATTATCGTGACAAAACAATTACATCATGTTCTTCTTCACACTCAAGAGTCATTTTTCTTAGTCTTAATTTTTGCGTTTTGTCGTTACTGACTTTTACGAAATTTTTGATTTCGTTGGTTGCCGCGCTTTTAGTTAAAATTTGTTAAAATAATTTTGCTGAGGATGTCTCTTATAGAACTTCGTTTTTGATTGGTTCATAAAATATAGGATTGTTTTGGTAGTTTTGTTTGATTTATTTCATGGACATTTAGTTATTTGATTGGATTTGTTTAATTGGCATTTGCCCATACGTTGTTTAAAAATGTTTAACGTTATTGTGGAATCACTGTATAACAATTTTTAAATTTGTTGAAAATAAATACACTTGTTAAATATTTCTCATTAAATACAAATTTTCTTTATATGTTAAGTATATTTTTAATTTTGAATTTTTCTTATTTTGTTTGAATGAATGATTTATCAACACAAAAGAAAGTAATATAATAAATATGTGCATATTGATAATATTTTTCTCTTTGTTTGTTTAAATATATTCTATTATTTAATTATGTTCACATCTTTGGAAAGCTCAGTTGTATATGATAATTTCACTTTAAAAGTTCCGAGTTGTACAAACTACTGGTAATAAATAAGTATTGTTAAAAAAACTCTAGATATGTTAGTAAATTTTAATGTTTTCAACTGCCCAGATTACGAAAGTAATTCGGATGACCTTTTCAAAGCCGAGTAAGGAAAATTTGAAAGGAGTACTTAATGGTCCTCGAAAACAGAAATTTCTGAAAGATATCGATTTTATCAAAGTTAAGATAAACACCAAATTATTAGAAGTTGTGCAAAATATGTTGACAAACTTTAGGATTTTAAGAGCATTTGTATTTGTCCAAGGTATACTATCTCCGTAATCATCTGAATAAATTTTCGGATAATTTAATGTTAAACGAAAATAAAAATTTAAAAATAAAAGAGAACAAATCCTAAAAAACCATTGATAGTTTCATGAACCGTGGGTACATATACATATGTATGTCCCAAATAGATCTTATATCTAGGGCAACAGAACCACTGTGGACCTGTGTAATTATGTTTATGCTGATGGGCATAAGGGAAATGTGTTGAACTCATCACATTGTCCGCGTTAGATGTCTCATATATGTCGGAGGAACACACTTTATAGGAAGTAGAGAGCTGATCCGAGTGTCTACATCCCGTCAGAGTCACAAGTCTCGATTCAAATTGTTCTGTGTGGATAAACACATTTCTAAGCAAACGCAATGAAAGATGTCAGTGATAAATACAGGTAATATTTGAAAACTCTTGCAACATGCTGCTACAGAGTATAATGGTTTTGTTCACCTAACGGTTGTACGTGAAACAAAAAATCAGAATGGTGAGTCGAGTTGAAATCTGAGTAACTGTCTGCAGGTCCGTCCGTCCGTACAAGCTGTAACTTGAGTAAAAATTGGGATATCTTGATGAAACTAGGTATGCTCATTTCCTGCCAAAAAAAAAAAACAAAAACTGTTTGTAGGTGGGCGCAATCGGACCGCTGCCACGTCTAATAAATGCCATTAAAACACTATAACTAAACACCAATGGTGAGCTAAAAACGCCCTCTAATAAGTTTAATGTTTAATGTACATACATACAATATCCTATACCACTAAAGATACTTAATATGCCAGAGACAAAAAATTGTATACCCGAGATAGTATAAAGGAGCTTTATATAGGAGTCGGTGTAAAAAATGGATGATGGGCGTGGCAACGTCCACTTTAAAGTGCAATCACATATCTCGGGACCCGAATAACTAATTTCGACTAAATTTGTTTCGTGACATGACGGACTACAACTACGCCTACTTCCATTATAGCACAATTTTAAATTCCATTTGTTTCTTTCAGCTGCCAGTACACAAATCAAGAAGCATCTTATAACCAAAAATTCTACAAATCCAACAAAAACTGTTCAAGCCCTAGGTACCCCAGTCTTGAGTCTAGAGTTGACTATTGACTGAAAATATAGCTCAATATATGGGATATACAACTGAAATTTAGAGAGAATCTTTTTCTGATAATAGTATCTCTGTATATCAAGAATTAGTTGAATCGAGTCGACACTTCTTTGAATCCATTTACGTTATATAAATATTTTCGAACTACTGGGTGAGTTTATAGTATAGTGCATGCATCGGCGAATATGTGAGTTATCTCAATGAAAATGAAATATGACAGAAAGTTTTGCCAGTACCTGAAGGAATTTCCCGGTCTTTGACTTTAGCAGGTTGAAAGTGTATAAAATGTTTGCTTACACCCGATCTTAGCTCTTCCTTACTTGTTGTAAGATGCCTTTCTAATCATTAAATGAGTGCAGCCTGAGACATTCTGATGTTGATTACAAACTTATGAAGAAGTTTATTTTTCAACTAGTTATGAACAAAGGCATTAAGTAATGATTATTAATTTTATTTACTATCGAAAAGTATAATTTCATAATTTACCTAAAAAGTTAAAAATAATGATGAGTAATTATTTCAAACTAATTAGAAAAAGTCGATGTAATTTCAAATTGTTTTTCTGTGTGAAAGTAAAGAAATAAAAATGTAAATGTTCATTAACTATTTTGTTTGCCGACAAACTTGGTTTTTCTAAGAATCCATATAATGATAATTAAATTTTCTGTTTATCAATCGCATACCAAATGCTATATGTTATCTGTTTTAGGGAAATATTAGTATTTTTTTTTAACAATTTACTATTAAATACATAATTCCTCCGCTATTATCATTCATTGATTGGTGTCATTACGATTATCGAACACAACTAAGCATTTGGTTTACTATTCCTACAAAATTTTAATGAAACCGTTATTGCGGCACTTTGAAAGTGCGTATGTGTGCTTATATGTGTCTGCAGCGACCATGTTTGGATATACATTATATCAAATATGAGAATATACATACATACATGTTCAGTAGTTCGAATTCACACATAAATAAAGAAAAGAACAAAATACATTTGCATTGTTTTGACTGCGTTTTTCTTTTGTGCACGCGTCGTTTCTTGCAGATAAGAATAAGGAAAATGAATAAATAAGAACCAAGACGTTTTGTAATTTAATTTTCTCTATAATGTTTTATTATTTACACTTCATCGCCATTTCACATGGCATTGTTTATTTTGGGGAACTAACGGTGCAACTGCTTATATCCACACTGTGATTTATGGTAAAAAAAAAACTTTTATTTTTCGCTAAATCGAATTTGACAGTGTTCGCAATAAAAAGTTTATTGTATAACAAACATACTAATTTTAACTAAAGTTGCAGTTAAATCGGAAAATAGCAGGCGACTAAAGTCTTTTTTTAACTAAAATTAATGTTGAAAAAC